CACCTGCTGATGCTGCACATTCCTTGTTAGTTGCGTAAAGTGAGCCGTGATGCATGCTCATGAAATAGGATATGGTTTGGTTCAGCCTGTGACACCACGACTAGTGATTGCATAGTGGAACTCCTCTTATTTGTCGCCTTATGGGATGTGTCTCTCCCTTAACATGTAACATGCTTGCCGTTTTCGCTGGTTCGCCATTGAATAAGAGCTTCGAAGGTGCAATGTGCCTTACCTTGAAATAAACTGACTGTAACTTGGGCCCTTTTATCACAGCTCATCTCCTTTGCTCCCTGCATAGTACAGAACTTTCATCCCAAAGCTCTCAATGCTGTCGGCTTCCTGCCCCCCTTCAAGTCCCCGCTCAATACCTTTCCTTTTATCTGTTTCCTCTAGAAAATTAATATTCCCACTGCTGTGCAGAATTTTGAGATGCGCTTGCATTTAGGTGCTACATAAATCCAAATTGTATTGCACTTATGTATGTTGAACTTCTTTTGCACCGTACGTAGCCAACCGTGATAACTGCACAGACTCAGAGACCCAAAGACTCGCGTCTTTTTCTGCAGCTGTCCATCGCGAATGATAGTTGACTGCGGAGAACAGCTAGCAGCATTTGCCTGCCCACTGGTGGGATGAGAGGCCTGCCCTTGAGTGGAAGCATCGGCCGCACTGTGGGCAAGACTTGTTCATCTGCTGGATGGGATTTAAGTTGTACCACTGCTGGTGTTGATTCTGATTGGTGTTTTTTCTTCCCATTTCTCTTCAACCCTCTTGACCGAGTCGGCTACAGCACTTATCCACTGCTTACAGTTGGCTGCCATGTCCTCCCATGTTTTCACATTGACATTGCCTGTCTTGAGGTGTCTCTTAAGGACTCCATTGAGATCGCAGTTTATAGACTCGGATAGAGAGACCCATAGACTCAGAAAGAGAGTCACGAGACTCAGTGAGGCGTCGTGGGTAAAACCAAGGGTAATAATGGTGAAACATAGAGACTTATAGACTCGCATAGACACTAATGATTTTCTCTCGCGAAGAAAGAGACAAGGCCACTCGTTTTTTGTCAGGCATGTTAAGATGTGGTGACGCATAGCAGCTGTCACACGAATCCAAACAGCATTGTATTGCGAAAGTTACTTATACGTTACGGTTTGCGCAAGAGCAGTAAGGCTGAAGGTTTTCCTCCAGGCAATGGAGCCACGCTGTATAGACGGTTCAGATTTTTTTTTCATTTCCCAAGGCAGGTGTGGCCAGAAAACATAATTCGGTGGTGCACGCTGTCTGATTAGTCTGCACGCGTACGTGTGCAGTCCTTCGTGTATCCACTGCTGGATGAGGGCTTCCCCACGCCGTGCAAGTCTTGGGGGTTTTATGACCGTACTTTGCCATGCTTGTCAGCGCGAGTTTGTGAAGGGCAGGGAACCCTCGACATGGGCGCATATAAGTGCAGTACAATAGTGGGGTTTGCTGCACTGCCATCTACTGCCCACTTTGGCCCTGCAGACTGTTACCTATAACACCTGCTACACACGCATGGCGGTCGCACATCCGCAAGAATTGTCCAGCCTCAAACCCTGCTTAGCTTACAGAGATCTGACGAGATTGGGCCCATTCTTGGTGCCTCGTGACGTGTGATGTCCGACTTTAAGAGCACCGTTGTGTTTGGGACCCTGTAAGTGAGTTAATTGATGTTAACGTCTATTGGTTGTTTTGTGTTTTACGCAGTCACCCACAATGATAACCTTTTTTGTCGTATCTAACAAAAAACATGTTATACCGCGTTTGCATTGGTGAACACGCGCACGTATAACGGATCTCCACACATTCGTCAATAATGCCTCAAAAGAGGAATATATATAACGGATGATGTTTTGGCCCACTGCCCGAAACGTCGCCGTCTCATATATATTTTTCCTTTAAGGGGCAGCGCTATTGACAAATGCGGTTGGGGTTTTGCTATTCTCCCCCATATCTAGCCCTGTCCAGCTGTGGACACACAGGTACGAGCTCAGCAGCTGCTGGAGGATTCACAATTGGCTTCGCAGTGCCGCTGACATTACGGTACAGGGATTCTCAAAATCCTGGATAAATACAGTGCTGAAAAGCTTCAAAGAGCCAGGGGAAGGGAAAAAAAACCGTGTTGAATCCTAAGCATATTTAGGGCATATAAATACTGAGCACAGAACACCAGTGTTCATAATCAGATTGGTTTCCCATTTTTTTGTCAGTTTTAAATACACGGCACGATTGCCATGCCTCAAGGCTATGACTGCTGTTCAATAGGCATGCGATGATACGTCGATTCATCAATTGAAATCGAGTCTCACGCTCAAGATAAACGGTGCGTGTAACACTTGATCATTTACCGCGTGTGCAGATTATGTGAAAATGTTAAACTGATGTTAAATTTAAGCTCAAAGAGCAAACGAGATTGTAGAAATGGGCAAAAAAAATTGAGAAGCGATACAAACAACAGGGCAAAATATGTTTAAACCAAAAAGATATTCGTAATCAAATCGAATCAAATTGTGACAATTTACCGAGTGAAACGTTGCAGCCATGATTGACCCACTGCTGGATGAAGGCCTCCCAAAGACGTCGCGATTTCCTCCCACGATCATGCAAAGCAACAAGCAGCACAATCGTTAGAGTTAAATATTTCGAATCAAAAATGTCATAAGGAACTCTTCTGCAATATATTTAAGGGACCATCAAATGCCTGTCTTTTATAGAGAATCCTGGTTTCGCCTATAAAAAATCCATTTTACCCCCTGTCTTGGGTATGGAATGGTCTTCTATACAGGGCTTAATTCCAGCTGAGTCTGTCCAGGTCTCAAATCCTGAAGATATTCACGCAACCGGCACACCACTTCCAGTATATATAGTGCTGCGGCTGTGGTTACTTGTCACATGCTACCAACAACCAGGAAAATATTGAGTGAGAAATTAAGCCCTGGTTCTACAGCATCCTAATCTCGATCCAGCACTGTAGTTACATTTCTACTTAAAAGCTAACACAACGATGACGTATTTTTCTTTTTACATTTCCGTTCGCGCCCAATTTCTCTTCATTGCCTCTCGCTTTTTATCACTGTTAGTTTATGTGCCTCTATGTTGTTGGATTCGGTTGGTGGAAACGTGGCCTGCGATGCAGGGTCCTGTAATCTGCCGACTTACCATCACACACATTGCCACTTACAAATCTGTGAGCCGGAAAATTACGTGGCAGTGAATAAACAAAATCAGGATTGTTAAAAAAAAATGTTCCGAATCCACAACACAGTGCGTTTACATTTTAATTGTATGATTTCTCTGAAATTTGTTTACGGTAAAGTCAAAATACTACGCTAGTTAATGTATTTGTGTTGGTGCAGTTAAGTGTTTCTGTATTATCCTTAAAAATAACAAATAATTTAATATTCACTACAGTTATTATGTTAACTCATCGGGGAGTTTTCTATAAATATACACTGATGAAAAAATGTATTATACAAACATTAATTTGATAATCATACAACACCTTAAGTCAGAAACCAGAGTTCAAACCCCAGCCATAGCTAACTTCAGTGACAAGTGATATCTAAACTCGTCTTTGACCTCCCACCTTCCTTTCACCAACCCCCACTGATCAGGGTGTTGAAGCGTGGTCAATCAACCCCTATAGTCGACTTGGCATGGGCAGGCCCTCATCCAGAAGTACACTGAAAAAGAGGGCTGTAAACTGTTTATTGTGAGTTATTAAAATATTTGTACATAATTGTGTAATTAATATGACGTATATCTTTTTTTGGTATTTACATAAAACTTTCAGAGTGTCTCACTGAATTTCTCTTCGTATTCACTTGCTGAGTGCTTTGCATTTTTGAGACTGCAGTGACAATTGTCGTCATCATCATCAATCATCCATGATCAATCCACTGCTGGATGAATCCCTATTCCATCACCCCCTCGCACGATGGATTGTAATAAGCCCAATTTAGATCAGCGCACGAGCGTGGCGATAGTGCAGTACACGTTCATGAGTTTTACAGCACAATTGTTAATGGGTTTCGCAGTCGAAACATGCCGTACTTGGCCGTTTTTTTGCCGTCTTGGCTGAGAAACTCTGGCTCTGATGCAAATGCAGACCGATGCGCGTGTTGTAGACGCCTTCCGTTTCCCCCACCGCGGTGGAAAACAACAGAAGCGTTCCTTCGAAGGGGACTTCCTGGTAAACGCCACGTGGGTTTCTGAAAATATTACTACCGTACGGAAAATCTGAGCATTTCTCCAACCAGTAAAAAAAAATACACAAAATTCCATGTCACGCCGAGTGGATATGGGCTTCGGGCATACTCGAGTGATTATCGTAATTCAAAACATTCCCCCCGGTTTCCTCGTGCATGACGTTGCTTTAACCCAACGGGCGAAATTAAAGCCGGGAGGGTGGGGGTGGGTTTGGCACATTTGATCAGTGCGTTAGCGAGCAGCGACGGCGCGCATGCTTGAGAAAATACCCGTACACAAAATTGGGTTTGAACAGGGCCCCGTCTTTTAGAGGGAGGGCTTTTGCCAACAACATTTATAAGTGCAGCATTTGTTTCAAGAAGCATGTCCCTGCTTTTGAGACTCCGGAGGTTATACCAGCCCGGAGTTGTGCTGGATAATATTGATTTTGAGAGTCAATAGGCTGACAGAAAATATATATACTGTACGCTTATTTATATGTGGACACACAGAGCGGAGTTTGTGTATTTGCGTGTTTTAGAAAGGAGAGTTGTGATTTGGACGCAAACATTGTTGTCCATTGTTCGTTTCACTCTGCCCACCATGAGCAGATACAATGTTCCAGTAATGTCTCGATTTAAGGATACTTTGGCTTGTAATCAGCTTGTGAATTTTGAGAGAGGGGGGGGGGGTAAACCCTTAAACAATACATATCCATTTTTCAAACCGATGTTTGATTCGTTCCCAAGTGATACAACCGTGAGGATGCCTGATGACAAGCATCTCATCAAATCTTGGGGAGCCAGGCAGGTTTGAGGCAGGATAGTGCGTGGATGGTTGACCACCATGCACGGTGAGTGTGTTATGGCTTATAGACTGCGGGGTCTGTGTAGAGAAGAGCAAGGCTGAGTGCAGCAAAATCCATTGTTCTACTGTATATGCCCTAATATCTATGCTTTCCGCCTTCAGCAACCCCGCACTGACTGGCTTGTGAAGTGCGGTCAAATGACCCCAAATGACGTGCACATTGTGGCGATGTCCTCATCCAGCAGTGGATTGACAAAGAGGGCTCTATATCCACTCAAACATGTACAGAAATGGCCTTCACAAAAACGAATCCAGGTGTGGTCTTCTCGGTTAGGACACGTGTTGAGCTTTATATCTCTCTCGATTTTGCCATGCACTACTGCGAGCATCTTCATTACGAGTAGCTACGAAAGCTTATGTGCCGAGTTCACATTACTAGAGGTATCGCGACTGATTTTTTTTTCTGTTCTGTGTTGCTGACAGGTTACAAACAACGCACACTTGGAAGGTGGGAGTGAGAATCTTGAGCCATGGAGAATGAGGAGTGCTCAAGCTCTGATATTCAGAGTGTGCTGTCCATCCTGGACTCCAGATCACCAGGTGCTTCCATGCATAATCGACGATACAACCCATCATTTTAACGAGAGCCATACAATGTTTTTGTACATCTGTGCTCCCACTTCTCTCCTCCCCCACCATCACGAATCTGCGCTGACCAGCGTGACAGAGTACAGCAAAACCTCTAGAAGCTGGACTCGCCAGAATTTGAAGTAAGCCGGAAGGGCTACACAAAATTAATGAATACATTAACAAAAAATGAACCTCAAAACTACAGCAGAAAATGAAGCTGTGCACAGTAGGACACAGCTTGTATGTATTATTTTGCTCATAATGCATGCATACGATCATGTGTCTAGGAAATAATGATTTTAAATTCATGCAAATAAAAACTCCAACATACCTTTAGGCCAACAGAACGAGCGAAAGAGAACACGCAAGAAAAGGTACAAGACAGAATACAAACAAGGTAGTACCAACCAGAAAAAAAATAATCTGTCAATGAATTGGTTCGTGACCCAGAATCGTGACAATCTTCCAAGGATTTTGGACGTTTTATACAGCAACGCATCCTCTAACACAGTGTCGATCAACCCCAGTTCTCGCACCCTCCCATGGTACAGCTTTCTGTGATTGCCCACCACCCGGTGCATGCATTGCGGCTTAATTTGTATCCGAATAGTAAAGATCGGTAATCACAAAAACGTGGTCCTCAGTGGGGCATTGCAAGGATAGGAGTCAAGAACACACTGCTCTAATACCATTGATGTTTTTTTTTATTTTCATAGCACCTAGAGTGGAGCGTGCCACTTCCTGTGATATGTTCTTAATTTGGATTCACGTTTGGTAATTTTCCTGTCACGTGCGAAGTCCAGTCAAGAGGTTCGCGTCATTATATTTTTAGTTTTTCAGTTGAGGGGGATGGTGTAAATGGCATGAGCTTTGTGTGAAACCGACTTTTCCCCTCGTCCTTGTCCCCCTCCCGTATATTGTACGCGACATCTAGTCGCGTAGTTCTGCAACGACGACTGAGCAAGCAGGCCCCCGTCAAAACGAGTCTGGGATTTTGTGAATTGTCGTGGGGTAAAAAGGGAAATAAAATGCATCAAGTGTCGTCTTCATTGGGGAAGTTTTCTTCCTCGCGAAACTCTTGCGGTGTTGTAACATCCCGCATCAAAACATGACGTAATTTTTTTGCTTTGAAGTGGAAGTCACTTGAAGACGTTAAATCAAATGCAATGGGGGACAACTGTGAGATTTTTTTTCAGCGGAGGAAATTCCACGGATGTCTTCCAGGAGCCACGAAATCACCGGCTGTGTAGCTCAGCGATTAGAGCACCGGTATCGTGAAGCCAGGGGGCCTCGCGAGTTCAATCCTCACGGTGGCCTGTACTCTTTTCCAGGCCACTATTGAAAATGAGACGACGCTGGTCTCTTGACGTCCACGCCTGTTTTTTTCAAGCAAATACACTTGAACTTGATGTACCGGTGCAGAAGGGAGACTCCTTTGAAATGAAGCCACGTTGCAAAACTCATAGCCGAGGTGCCGTATTATGCGCAGCAAAGCATAATTCAGCAAACGTTTCCACTTGGCTATGTGTAATATATGCGGTCTGTAATAGACAATTTTTCACCCGGATGCAAGTCATTAGATGCTGTCATATCCTTTGATACAGTTTAGCATGAAGTGGTGAGGCTTATCCTGTTTCCACAGTTCTTAAAGTGTATACGCCGTCTCGTTGGAGGACAAAACACACCACAGGTTTGGTAAATATCCTCCTTGACAAAAATGTGAGTTGCCTGTGAAACTGCAGGATAAATGAGGTATCAGCCACACAGCCTATTTTTAAAAGTGTTGACAAGTCCTGCCTGCTCTGCTCCTAGGAAACACAGAGGATTTGTCACTTGCGGTGTGGCTTAACATCGATCCAGCCTGCCAATGACACGCGTTGCTTTTACGCCACATTGGGCTGTGGAAGCGGGTCGCAGCAATGCTTCCAACTGCATCTTTATGGAGCACATCATGAATTTCCATCATTCTCGGTCACGATTCGACACAAGAAATGAAATCGCTTTGGTCGCAATTTGTACCGTCTCGTTTGTATCGTTTCGTCCGATCTGTCCCGTTTACAGTGAGGGAAAAAGTATTTGATCCCCTGCTGATTTTGTACGTTTGCCCACTGACAAAGAAATGATCAGTCTATAATTTTAATGGTAGGTTTATTTGAACAGTGAGAGACAGAATAACAACAAAAAATATCCAGACAAACGCATGTCAGAAATGTTATAAATTGATTTGCATTTTAATGAAGCAAATAAGTATTTGACCCCCTCTCAATCAGAAATATTTCTGGCTCCCAGGTGTCTTTTATACAGGTAACGAGCTGAGATTAGGAGCACACTCTTAAAGGGAGTGCTCCTAATCTCAGCTTGTTACCTGTATAAAAGACACCTGTCCACAGAAGCAATCAATCAATCAGATTCCAAACTCGCCACCATGGCCAAGACCAAAGAGCTCTCCAAGGATGTCAGGGACAAGATTGTAGACCTACACAAGGCTGGAATGGGCTACAAGACCATTGCCAAGCAGCTTGGTGAGAAGGTGACAACAGTTGGTGCGATTATTCGCAAATGGAAGAAACACAAAATAACTGTCAATCTCCCTCGGCCTGGGGCTCCATTCAAGATCTCACCTCGTGGAGTTGCAATGATCATGAGAACGGTGAGGAATCAGCCCAGAACTACACGGGAGGATTTTGTCAATGATCTCAAGGCAGCTGGGACCATAGTCACCAAGAAAACAATTGGTAACACACTACGCCGTAAAGGACTGAAATCCTGCAGCGCCCGCAAGGTCCCCTGCTCAAGAAAGCACATATACATGCCCATCTGAAGTTTGCCAATGAACATCTGAATGATTCAGAGGACAACTGGGTGAAAGTGTTGTGGTCAGATGAGACCAAAATGGAGTTCTTTGGCATCAACTCAACTCGCCGTGTTTGGAGGAGGAGGAATGCTGCCTATGACCCCAAGAACACCATCCCCACCGTCAAACATGGAGGTGGAAACATTATGCTTTGGGGATGTTTTTTGCTAAAGGGACAGGACAACTTCACCGCATCAAAGGGACGATGGACGGGGCCATGTACCGTCAAATCTTGGGTGAGAACCTCCTTCCCTCAGCCAGGGCATTGAAAATGGGTCGTGGATGGGTATTCCAGCATGACAATGACCCAAAACACACGGCCAAGGCAACAAAGGAGTGGCTCAAGAAGAAGCACATTAAGGTCCTGGAGTGGCCTAGCCAGTCTCCAGACCTTAATCCCATAGAAAATCTGTGGAGGGAGCCGAAGGGTCGAGTTGCCAAACGTCAGCCTCGAAACCTTAATGACTTGGAGAAGATCTGCAAAGAGGAGTGGGACAAAATCCCTCCTGAGATGTGTGCAAACCTGGTGGCCAACTACAAGAAACGTCTGACCTCTGTTATCGCCAACAAGGGTTTTGCCACCAAGTACTAAGTCATGTTTTGCAGAGGGGTCAAATACTTATTTCCCTCATTAAAATGCAAATCAATTTATAACATTTTTGACATGCGTTTTTCTGGATTTTTGTTGTTATTCTGTCTCTCACTGTTCAAATAAACCTACCATTAAAATTATAGACTGATCATTTTTTTGTCAGTGGGCAAACGTACAAAATCAGCAGGGGATCAATTACTTTTTTCCCTCACTGTATTTTCTGTTTTCCCAAAGATACATACTCACCATTTGTGTACCCAATTGGCATGAATAATAAATAATGGCTTCACCAACGTGGGATTAAATGTTTGTGTGTAGCAGTCTCTTTTAATCAGTGAAGTATTTGGCCAATTTGGCCAATTTCTTTGTTGATAATTATTTTTGAGACTGAGAGTAAGTTGGAGTACGTGGAGAAAATGTGCATATCGTTAGAGTTTAGCATGCGGAACATGCTTGGAATTACGTTGTCAGACATGAAGAGGAACACGTGGCTAAGAGAATGTATGCAAGTTCAGAAACATATTGGTTGTTCAGAAGTGTGAGTCGGCTAGAGCAGGACACGTCACTGGGAACGGATGATGGCCGATTGTCGAGACTCACGATGGTTATAATGATGGGGATGAAGATGATGATGGCAATGACGTTGATGATGGCTGATGATATGAAGATAATAATAATGGTGATGATGACCATGAGGATGGTGATGACAAAGATGGTGCTGATGGTGACGATGATGATGATGATGATTGCAAAGTTGACGATGATGACAATGATGACGATGACAATTACAATAACGACGATGATGACCGTGATGATAGTGATGAGGACATTGATGACGATGGTGACAATGATGATAATGACGGTGACCTGTGACTCCACCCGTGGCTGTGTCGCTCAGCTACGCAGCTGTTGGTGAAGCAGGCCGGCTTGCCGCAGGAGCCGAGCGAGGGTCGCACGGCGCTCTCCTTCCAGATCTTGGAGGAGCTGCTGCCCCGGCTCGGAGTCTATGGCCCCGTGCTGCGCCTCCTGCGAGACAAGCTGCACGGTAAGCTAAACTTAAAACTACACTTTTTTATTTTATTTTACAAGGTAAGGCCCACTGAGCTATGTAGCTCTTTTTCAGAAACGACCTGGCTATTACAAATTATCGTCCAATTAAGTGGCCCGTCCCTTCACGATCCTGCATTGACCAGATTGGTGAAGTATGGTTAAACAGTCCCCATCGATCGACACGGCGTGCGGTGGCCTAAACGCAGAAGTGGATCGAAGAAGGCCCTAACTCATTACGACTGTTGTTATTGCTGTTTTTTTTTAAATGGCAGCAAAGAGCACAAAAGTGTTCATGGCATTCTTGGCAAAGGATGAAAGAGCCAATCAAGAGACGGTGCCAAAGGGGAGCGTGGGATTTTTCGGGGCGAATTCGTCAGGTGCGGATAATTGGCTTTAATGACTAAATTAGGCGGCCCTAAGTGAACAACTCTCCACATTCACGTTCACAGCTGCACATGCCAAATGCTGGATTCCTTAAACATCTTAGTCGAAAGCTGCTGCTGACGATGTTGCTGCTGTTAACACCGGCACATTTCTTTTGGGAGGGTTGAATTACATGGATGCTGATACGCTTTGCTGTTTATAATATATAATGTATTCAAGGAGCTGCTTATTTCACTAAATTAACGAGACATTTAATGAGCATTAAGTGACACGTCATGGGTGGTCAAATCACCCGGAATATGCACCCATCTCGTTAAATAATCCTCGGTAGGGCTCGACCCAATATAAACAAACATCACAGAACAAATGTGTTGCTGTTAGGGGACTAATATCAGAATAAAATTGGCCAAATTGGTCAAAGCGAATGGCTGACATCACAGTGCCCAAACAGGTTGCCATGGGGCTGCGAGGCAAAGAGAAGTGGGAAGCAGAGCGTAGCGCCAGCAAAAATCCATTGTTGTATCTTCACTTAAAGCTTTCGTGACTGCAGGAATTAATATTCTTTGGGTCTTTCGGCAAAGTCGTTTTTTGTTTATTTCATTTTTTTATAAATTTGAACCGATCTGCGTGGCTTCACCGAAAGACCCAAAGAATAATCCATTGTTGTGCTGCACTTCTATTCTCCCAGCTGTACACTCCCTGCCTCGACCAGCCCGCACTCACCAAGGTGGTGAAGTGAGGCAAATTACCCACTACGACCCCAGAGACGGCGTGGGGAGCCCCAAATGGAGCAGTGGATCGACTAAATAGACGGCCGTGCGAAATTTAGTTTTTTTTTGTCATTGCACAGAACAAGTTGTCCCACACCGGCGACAAGTTTTTTTTTAGCTCCCAGTTGAAGACACGACACCTCCCCACCCTCCCAATTTCCCGGAGGTAATAAAATTGTGCAAATACGCAGAAGCGCTTCTCAAATCCCGGCACAGATCTCTCACTTTTCTGCGGGCGGGCGGGCGGCGGGGCCCGGGCTGGGCTGGGCGTGCGTCTGTACGCACGCACGGACGAAGCAGAGCGATCTCTGAGCTGGGGGGGGGGCACTGTTTTCACAATTGATTGGAGCGGCCCCGGGAACTGAGCAAACACTGTCGAGGAATAGGGGTCGCGTTCTCATTTGTTGGACAGGGGCAAGAGGGGACGCCCTGATCTGGCCTCGGCTCCCCGTCCATCCGTCCGTCCGCACGTTCTGACGCTGGCACCCCCCCCCGTCACCGTCACCTCACACATCTCCCCCTGCGCTCGCTGCGCGTTCCGAAGCGGCGGTTGCCCATCCGCCCGTTGGCTCCCTCCGTACAAGGTTAATAAATAAGGAATTAGACCGACTCCCTGTCATACCTGCTTGCCCAGCTTAACCCTGCGGTAAGCGCTCGGGTCACGCCGTAGGCGATGGGTATAATCACGTCAGGTTCATTTGGAAGTGAGAAGGAGGGCCTCCATTTTTAATTTCGTCCGTTTGCTTTTCGATATCACATTTCTCTCTCCCCCCCCCCATATTCCCCTCGCGCATACGGCGCTAATAATAAAACGCGAATAATCTGGATATAAAATAAAATAGACTTAGCGTTAGGCCGCTCGTAGAAAATATAAAGCAGATTAGTGCTGCATTGTAGGCGCTAAGATGTTTAAAGTTGTACTGTCAAGGCGACAAAATTGAGAGCACATTTTTTTTTAAGGTGGCAAACGCCGCTGCGATTTTTTTGTATTTCTTCGCCGCCGTACAAAGTTCCTTGACGCGTCGCCGCAGCAGACCTTCAAAATATAGGTTAATTCAAGAACCTCACCTTAAAGACATGGAGCAAATATTGGCGGTGGTCGTTATGGAATGTCAGGAGAAGCTGCCGCTTTTGTGCAGCGGTAAGCTTGCCCCTTGGCTGCTCTGTCAACCTCTTGTCTGCAGCTCCCATACTAATCTTTGAAATGTGAAAGCATTTCATTCCCAATGTTGTCATTTAACAGCCTTAGCAGTGGCGTACATCGGTATAATCCCTAATTAAAAGCAACGTTTTGAGTTGCACGATCCAATGTTGCTCTCCATTCGCCTTGTGTGGCCTTTAACGGACTGTTGGGGCTGTCAGCGAGCACCAATTTGAGGCCGCCACGGCATACGAGAATGCTGACGCGGTCGGCATTAGTGTGCTGTCTCCCCAGCACTGATGGTTTACACGCTGCACCAGGTGCTGAAATTAAGCCCGAGTCGACCTAGGGGAGTCCCAGGAGCAGCTCTGACGTTCGTCACTTGGGCGGTCGGGATCGTAGCGCAGCGAGCTATTTGGCTGCTGCTATATATTTCCGCGTGATAAGCCACTTCGTTGGGCTGTCATTTGCAGTTCGGTTGCTTCTGAAAAAGAGCTGTATAGCTCAGTGGGCCTTACCTGGTAAAATATATATTTTGTATATATACTTTGGGTCTATGTACGGTATTGACTAACACTACGTGTCGTCTACTTCACAGTGGTCATTGAATATGCCGTGTTATTCGAAAGGGAGTAGGAAACAATATTTGCTGGTATTGTTGGTCCAAATTTGCTGAATAAAAAAAAATGCAATACTGTCAAATTACACAATTGGGGGAGGGTGGGGGTGCACATCACATGCAGTGTTATTCCCTTCTGTGAAACTTTCTCAGATTTCATCTGTGAAACGCAGCACCTCCATGATAGTTTTGCATGGAAAATAATTGCACGAATACCAAAAGAACTCACGGTTGGATGTGATGACGTTGATGGTCATGCATCGTGAATTTAAGAATCAATAGTAATTGATAGTAATTGATGCATCGTCGCACCCCAAACACGTGCTACATTCCATTCAAAGTCCTTGTAATGTAATTCGCGAATGAAAGCAGAAATAAAATTATGATGCCCATAGACTTGCAACGATGAAATTAACAATGTGATACATTTTTGTTTCAATTCAAAGAGCAATCATGAATTTTGTATTCGCATGCGAGTATTTTATTATCTTTCTTCATACATTAGTTCATGGCAAGGGCGTGCTTTGCAAAAGAAAAACATTTTACTAATTATTTAAGTGACGAAACAACTAGGCGATTTAGGCAGCTCCACTTTCTGGCAGAGATAGAGAGAGATCCCCAATACAGAGAGAGCGAGAGAGCCGCTTTGATGTGTAACGATTCAGCATCCTTGCAAATCACTAACTGTTACAATTCTGGGTTGGAGTTAGATTCGAGAACCAAATACTTTTGTGTTTTTATATTTTCTCGTATTTTATTTCTGTTCCATTTGCGTAATTATATTCCCTAAATGCGACACGATAATCTCATGTTCATGAATAGCGAGTACTCGATTCTTAAACGCATGATTTGATGTTGGGTGTTGAGAGTGTAACAATCTATATGAATTGACAAGTCGCTGCGTGGTTACATGCCTGCTATAAGAGACCGTGTGACCTGCTGTTGTTTCCTGCCTACGTATGAAAAACAATGACCAGAACAATATATATTTTTTATAATTCAGATAGTAGTCATCATCAGCACCAGCAGCTATAATCAATCCACTTCTGCATGTGGCAGTCGTGCAGGTTGATACTATATGACCATACTTCACCATGCTGGTTAGTGCCAATTGATAGAGGGAGGGGTAGGGCCGAGTGGGTGGGAGGCAGTGGGTGCAGGAATTGAACTCGGTTGACCACGTTCGTAGCACAGTGCGCTAACCACAAGGCCACTGCTCCTCCTCCCAGGAGTATATTTTATATAAAGATCCATAAATGATATCTCATAAGATGCCAAGCTATTCTCATCTCCCTCCCTGGTTCTGTGTGCTTGTTAAAAAATCAGCATGACGTATACTCACACATTCGTGGTCCCTGGCACATCACCAACATGGGTGTTACCAAACACCAAAACAAGAAAACACGCAAACAGCAGCAGCTGGGCAATAAACACATCGCCCGATCTGTTATGTGTTCTAATTATGGGTAATTATGCGCGACCACACGTGTTTATAATTATTGTGGGGTAATTTTTCATCTCTCAAATGAGATGCTCAAAAGGGTTTTTTTGTTTTTTTCTATGTACAAGTAAGGTTTGTGTTGTTGAGTCGTGTGTGACGTCGTGGGTGGGACGTGATGAATAAACTAATACGGTTGTCCATAATACAGTTTTTTTGGGTTATATCGCGTAAATATATAAATGTGTCGTTAAACCCGCCACCACCCGACACAGCCAATTATTAAGGTTTGTTACGTAAACAGAACATGCCAATTCGTTACTAGTGCAGCACACTAGTAACGAATTGAGTACGACGTTTCGTCAGTAATTAAAACTAGCTTCATATTTACGCGATATAACCCATAAAACCCTGTATTATGGATGATATTTCGTCGCAAAACTCTATGTGTTAAACTGAATGCGATTGTTTGTTTCACAATATTAAATATGAAGTAAACAATGTTGGGACCCTTTGCCATTCCACTGCTGGATACAGGCCTCCCCATGCCATATTGTTAGCCATGGGAATCTTTGACCATGCAGACCAGGGTGAAGGTGGGGGCCTTGAAGGAATTCAGATTTCACTTCCCACCAGTTGCTTCGTAACGACACTATCAGCTCAGGGGGTGCTGCAGTCGGTCAGGTGGGAACCCAATATTTTATTTGTCTCGCACGGTCGCACCTAAGCTATATATCGTGGCTCCTCTTGCCTAATCACATCGTTACGTACGTTGTTGTTCTTTTACACTGTTGTTGAAAACATATCTCGTGGTGGTTGTCAATGGGGCCCTAACTCGTAGCTTGGGGGGGGCAAGGCACACACTGCCATCACACCAGTTATGCTACTGCTCCCCACTGAAGGTAGTTGTGGCCTGCGGTTCGCAGGCCATCAGGTTCAGAGCAAAGTGTGCCAAGCACTGTGCCGCTCTTCCACGTATTTTAAAAGTCTTAATCATCATCACCAATGATCAAGGCCTACTTAACCAAGTCGCTGCCTACTCCCACGTGAGCTAAATAAAAAGAAAGTAGTTTCGATATTATAACAGGCTATATATTATACGGCCTTTTTGTAAAGTCCAATCCTAGTTTTTAGTTTGTTGTCCTTCCTCCGCACCTCTGATTAGCACGGTTGGCTACTTGCGGTGCGAAAGAAGGTCAACATACATACATACATACGGAGCGTATCTTCTCAACTGTTTCTCAATTTGAAATACGCCTTAAAATGTAGGGTAACGCAACAAGTGAAACCACTCGTGTTCTCCGCCCTTGACACTTCAACTTGACCACCCTTCTTTTTGATTCTGCGCGTGTACCCATCACACCCAATTGGGTCGCACGAGCACATTGGTTTCACGTGTGAGACGTTTGGAACGCAGCGAGGGTGGTTCGGATGCAGTGTATTAATCCTATCACAGTTTCATCATCTGCCTTGAAAGTTTCACCCAATTCTTTGCAATGCTTCTTCAGCGACTTTCCCATGTGCTCTTCCAAGTTTCTTGGCTGCACTTTGTACACTTCTCCTTCGTACACTTAAAGCAGTCAAGGTTGATTGATCATCCAGAACTCGCCGATTCACTCGGTCACTCACTCATCGGTGGCGGTCACTTGCTTCCTTATTAATCTTCTATCGCTGCTACCTTTGTGACTCCTCCTGTGAACTTCAGTCATGGATTTCTCCGGCAATGCCGTGGACTCGATCTACTCGACTGACTGTTTTGTCCCATCCGTGCTGTGTTCATCCACCACACAGCAGGTTTTACAACAACACACTCAACCACCCACTCACACATTCACTCACTCACCCACCTACTCGCTCGCCACACTGCAAGTCAACACGCTTATCTTTCTGCTTCGCTCCTCGCATGGCTTGACCTAGGAATCCTTCCCATCGTCTCTCACCTCAAGCCCTTATGACCTTGTGAAATTCAAGAAAACGATTTAACTCTTAGCTATGACGACTTTAACGGTGTAGTTTATATCTGTCCGCTTGCTGTTTTGGGCCTTTGGGCCTGTGCTCGGTGACTGTGGCAATAAATAAATAAATAAAAAGTAAGGTTACGAGATGATGTTGAGAATATTGAGGACATTGAGGTCATTGAAAATGACTTTGTAGACCTACCAGGACACTCGGCATCACTGACACTGATAGAGTCCTCCAGGCTATTTTGGAAGCATGTTTCATGCGGCAAACACAGCTCATTGGTTGCAATGTCTCCGGTTGCCATGCAGATGACGTCTACAGCCCACAGTTCACGTGCGATGAGTCCGACAGTCGCAGCGCGTACTCAAGGATCCCTTACTTCATCCTGTACAGCAGACTGCTCGCTAACAGGTGAGCTTGCCTCTTGGCCGCGTGCGCAAACGGATAACGGTCGGCTTTTCTTTCTTGACAGCATCTGCACATGAGCAAAAACATACGTTTGAGAAGCACGTTGACTCCGTCGTCATTAACACAGTAACTGTGATCAAATTACCGTGGAAATTGTCGGATCTCAGAAGCTGAGCAAATGTTGAGCTTGGTTATTACTTGGTAGTGAGGTTTGCCCATGAATACAAAATATGTTTTTAGGTTTGGGATGCGAAGTGGTTAGGAGATATCAGGACAGCAATCGATTAATCAGAATCAGAATTTGTATTTATTCTGGATACATCCAATGATCTATCAAGCTCTTTATCACAGACGTGCAGCAGGGGCGGGTCAGAAAGTTACAACAATAACAACAACGCAACTAGTCATGAGTATGTTTGTGCAGGGCTTAGAGTGTGGGACATTTCTCAGGGTATTTCCCTTTTCCTGCCCACTTGCCAAATACTCATTACTGTCAAGTGGAAGTTTGCAAAAATGTCATTGCAGGACCCAGCTTAAAAAGTGTTTCGACTCAGTGAGGGTTAATTTGGTACAAAATATATATATATTACTTTGCGATAAGTAGGAACGTGACAATTTGAACACCTGTTGAGTATAATATTTAACAATGTTTTTTTTCTATATATTACATTGTGGTGATGTAGGTTCATGCATCTACAAAGTTCTCATGGACTCATCAAATGTACAATTATTGTTATGACTAACGTAGGCAAATAAAAAATAATCCACCAACACTCAGACTGAATGCGTGCAATCGCGAGTGTGGAATCGATTTCGATCAATGAACAGACGCAGTCTTGTTTGCCTCACCCGAAGCTTATGTCTTGCACAGTCGCTCCTGTGCAGAGCAAGAATCAGAATCTTTATTTCGACTGCAGGAGGAATCCGATGAGCTATGAAGCTCTTTTGCAAAGCTGTCCAGTACGGGCACGGGGTCAGCAAGTTACAACAACAAACGATACAAAAAAAAACACAATAGGAGTGCAAAATAGAGAAAATCGTAAGCAAGTCACTAAATAGAAAGAAATAAGCATTCATTAATCATCTAAGTCCCATTTATCAAGATTGGGCAAGGCAGCAAACAAAAACAACAACAAGCCAGTCCCAGTCCACACCAAGATAACACCACACAGCAGTAGTCCCTCAATAAAATGACACATTAACACACTCTTTGGTCCTTTCGGTAAAGTCACGTAGGTAGAAAAATAGAACCAGATGAAAATAAAATATCACGACGTTTTGATCGCAACGCAAGCGGTCGTCCTCAGGCGGAAAAAAAAATAATCCAGCAATGGAACAGCAAATCGAGATTGACGCATTAACATTGAACTATCGATACTACAGGTAATGATGAAAGTTACAAACCACATTTGCAAATGTGACTGCTGTATCCGCCACTAATCTTCTGCTTCAGGCAAGGTGCACTCAGCATTTGCGATGGTGACGATGGTTGAGTGTGATATCAGACCGTCCCATTCCATCAGCTGCGATGCAGTCGCTCGCTCCGCCGCGGTTGGAGCCACGCGTCCGCAACGCAGCGCGTCAGCAGCGCGGCCGCTAACGCGCCGCGCTGATGTCCGATTCTTTTCACCAGAAACATCGAGGCAGAAGAGATTCAAGGACAACTGGATCGAGTCACGGGCGAGTGAGTGGTGCCACCGCATCGCATGCTCTCCCGCTTACCCCACCTCAGCCGAGCACCGCCATATCCTACATCGCATTCAATAGTAACAGTATTACTGTAGAACCCCTTTTCAATCCACTGCCGGGATGAGGGCCTGTTATGCATCAAATTATAAAAATTTTCTGACTCTTTCGGGGTAATCACTCTATCATGCAGGGGCTGTCACAAATGTCGTTTATTCTTTCTTTATTGCACTCACGTTGCACTGAGTCTCTGACCTCAACGAGTGAGGAGCAGCTATTAATAGCTGCCCACGGATTAATCTACAGTCGACTGTATTTAGCCATTTGGTTTCAACAACACTTCATTTCAGGACCGTGAAGCAACGGAAAGTCTGTCGGCTGTTTAATTTGAACGCAGTCGGTTACGCCAGCTGGCTCAATGTGAGCACGTTGACATGTTTGCTCACAGAAGCGTGGATTGGTGCACGCTTGGAATTACAGAGATGGAGAGAGGTCGAAGAAGAACGAATCGTTTGGAGACCACGTAAAGGTCATGACATCATTCAAGCTATGAAGAAAAAATAAGTGGGCTTGCCATCGCTAGAAGGGACAATTGCCAATGCTCAGGAATAACGACGGAGTGGCGACCAAGGGCTGGGATGCATCCAAGAGGACATTGACCGAGGGTGATGGAGCGATGAAATCGGTGAATGTGCAGGTTCTGGGTGGATTATTACATCGCGGGATGGTGAGAGGTAGCAGCAGATTGGGGGAGCATTCATCTAGCAGTGGGTTGACCATGGCTGATTACGATGATCATGACGATGAAAATCTTTCCAGCTAGGGGAGATGGGAAATGTTTTTCGAGAGATCCTCGGTTTTTTTTTACTGGTCGACGCAGGACCACTTGAAGATCGACACTGCCGGACGGACGGACAAAACTGACGTTGCAGCGAGCGACAAGAGATCCGTTCCTGCTTTTCGCGGTCTCTTTTCATCGGATCACTCGTCGGTGTGTGTTTGGGTGACGGCTTTTTTGTTTGTTTTGTTCTTGCCATGTGCTCTACGTGCGCACATTCTTAATGAGCGTTGGCATCTTGCAGAAAGAATAGCTCCGGAGGCATAGGATCCGTCTGTGGTGGGGGTGGGGGGGGGGCAGGGGGGGGGGGATGGGGGGGGGGAAGTGGGCAGCCACGAAGTCAGCATTCCGATAACGCTTGCGGAAACTCACTTCCGGCGAGAGCGGGGCGTGTGGAAGCGGGGAGTCGGTGGGTGGACGGGGGGGGGTGCCGGATTTTTTTTGCTTTGCTTAGCACCTCCGCGGTCGCACATCGTGTCTTCAAGCGGAGTGGCAGCGCTTGCAACTCAGCAGGTGCGGCAGCTGGTTGCAAAGCCGCTCCCTCCAAACAGTGACACGCGCGCGCGCGCGTCTGTGGACGCGAGCGTGTGTGTCAAGGTGAATGGTGAAAGCGCAGCCCTGCAATTCCTTGCTCACGCCATTGCTGGCAGAAAGGGCTTCCACGAGACAGTGTTTTGCCCGACTCTTCCACGCCAGCAAGATGTGTTGGAAGAAGTGGAAATATACCGACACTGTATTCCACCACATGCCACCCTGTCAATCGAATAACTTGCCCTGTACCCATTTACACTGCTGGGTGGACAGGGGGGATTTAAGAAACTTGCAGCTTTATTTGAACTACCGCATCGGCAGATGGAATTGAACCGGAAACCTCTGCATTGCAATGACCAAGGTGCTGCTAGCCGTTACAACAGAGCATCCCGTGTGTGTGTGTGTGTTTATATTCTCGACTCAGTCTTAAATGAGTACCTGGTGCCGGTTTGTGCATATCAGCACAGGGGGAGACGAAGTCAGCCAGGTCGTGGAATTGGCCTCACCACCTCCTTGTGCCCAGCACCGGCCTTCGTAGATTCTCGCCAACAGCACTTGCCCCCAGCGGCTTGCGCAGGCTATAAGGAGCCTCTTTGTATTTGCACGTATTCTCTCCTGAACTTCTGCTGCCAGGAGAAGGCTAAAGGAGGAGCCAGCTTGTTCCAATTACTGCAGCATTACCGTGACTCGACACTCCATTACACCTCTGTTTGTCTCTTGCTCCAGCGGGATTTCTCTCCAATTATTAAATTCTAAACAGGTTTAAATTATTCAGGGCCGGCCATGATGCCAGGAAATGGTGCAGATCAGATAGATTGAGGTCCCTGTTGGGATAGATGCATGTTAATGAAGAATTAATATTGGGAAGGCATGGGAAGTAGAGCTTCTATTAAGCTGCTTTAATTGGATAGAGGAAATAATGGGCTCTATTGGGTGGGAATTTTTGTCATAATCACACCAGGGGTTTTGAGGCCTTATGGAAGATAAATAAATATAGCTCATCAGCGTATTGCAACGATGCTCTCATCTCTACTTTTCTCGGATCAAAACACCTGCAAATTAAACTTGTGTGAGCAATGTATCAGAAGGGCACGAGGCTTTGTCCGTTTTACCCGATTTTGCGGATGAACAATGGTGATACGGTGGCACAAATGGGCCCTTTGTGAAAAGTTTAGTTCGTCAAGAGATGCGTTTCCCTTGGGCGAGGTGGATTTTTGAACAAGTTCTTTCGACTCAACTTCCGTGGCTTAGGTTGAAAAAAAATGTGCGTTCAAACGTATACAGTGAGGGAAAAAAGTATTTGATCCCCTGCTGATTTTGTACGTTTGCCCACTGACAAAGAAATGATCAGTCTATAATTTTAATGGTAGGTTTATTTGAAAAGTGAGAGACAGAATAACAACAAAAAAATCCAGAAAAACGCATGTCAGAAATGTTCTAAATTTATTTGCATTTTAATGAGGGAAATAAGTATTTGACCCCCTCTCAATCAGAAAGATTTCTGGCTCCCAGGTGTATTTTATACAGGTAACGAGCTGAGATTATGAGCATAATTCTAGATTTAAAGCTTTCGTGACTGCTAGGATCCATACTCTTTGGTTATATTGGGTAAAGTCACGTAGGTGAAAATAAAATAACAAAAAAATTAACAAAAAATCACGACGTTTCGGCCACAACACAAGTGGCCTTCATCAGGTGAAGGGACGAGACTGTCAGGAGGACAGCGCTGGAGTGGAAGAAGCCACGCTCAGATCACGACCTTTAAGCTGTGTGAGAAGAAAAACACTAAGCGCCTTGACAAAGGAATTAGCATATAATTTAGCATTGAAATGGCTCATTGAAATAGCTAAGTTAAAGTATACACATCCGCAGAGGTACCCCTTGACAAAGGAATTAGCATAGAATTTAGCATTGAAATAGCTGAGTGATTAGCTAGTAACTGGTCACAGAAATAGCTATGTTAAAGTTAGAGCATATACATTCACCGAGGCACCTAGTACTCATCAAACAGGAGAATTTAGCGAAACACAACCACGCTCAGACAGCGGGGGGGGGGGGGGGGGAGGGGGAGTTTACCTATTGATGGTGTGAGAAGGGAATTTATAAGAGCTGCGAAAGTTTGGGGTACCACTACTGGAAAAATATACTGTACCATTGAAATTAGTTTAATGTTTAGTTCGATTTAGAACATCTTTCCAATGGTTGCTTAATTTGAAACCATCCTCTCGGTTGAAATTGTGTCTGTGTTTGTAGATCTGAATTGCTTCATGAACAAATCTCTGATAAAAGCCCGTGGGTTTGCAAAGAACCTTGGTATCGGAGAAAATTATATCGTGATCCCCCACAGCGTTGTAACAGTGATCAGCCACGGCAGAAGAATTCGTTTTGCCGTATTTCAAATCTGATTTGTGCTCGCGAATTCGGTCAAAGACATGTCGCTTTGTCTCACCGATATAGCAATCACCACAGGTACAACTCAATTTGTAAACCCCGGGGTACTGTAAATCAGGAATGACATCCTTCACGGATGGGATCAGATCACGAATTTTGTGTACTGTATTGAACCGGACCTGGATCTTGTGTTTGTTTAGAATTTTGGAAATCTTTTTAGTAACGCCTGCTATATATGGAAGTGTGATGGTTTTGACCGGAGTATCAAGTGGTTGTTTCTGTATGGAGGGAGAGACAGCTTGGCGGATGGTACGGTCAGAGTAACTATTCCTTTTGAGGGCCAGGTGTACATGTTTTAATTCACTGGTCAGGTGGTGTTGGTCCGAAATGCAATGAGCCCTATGGTATAAAGTTTTGATGAGAGAATTATTTTGGGCTGGGTGGTGGTGGGAATCAGGTTTAAATTAGGAATCTGTGTGGGTGGGTTTCCTGTAGACAGAATGCCCCAATGAGCCATCAAGTCTCCTCTCAATCAGAACATCTAAGAATGGTAGGAGCACACTCTTAAAGGGAGTATTCCTAATCTCAGCTTGTTACCTGTATAAAAGACATCTGTCCCCAGAAGAAATCAATCAATCAGATTCCAAACTCTCCACCATGGCCAAGACCAAAGAGCTCTCCAAGGATGTCAGGGACAAGATTGTAGACCTACACAAGGCTGGAATGGGCTACAAGACCATTGCCAAGCAGCTTGGTGAGAAGGTGACAACAGTTGGTGCCATTGTTCGCAAATGGAAGAAACACAAAAGAACTGTCAATATCCCTCGGCCTGGGGCTCCATGCAAGATCTCACCTCGTGGAGTTGCAATGATCATGAGAACGGTGAGGAATCAGCCCAGAACTATACGGGAGGATCTTGTCAATGATCTGAAGGCAGCTGGGACCATAGTCGCCAAGAAAACAATTGGTAACACACTACGCCGTGAAGGACTGAAATCCTGCAGCGCCTGCAAGGTCCCCCTGCTCAAGAAAGCACATATACATGCCCGTCTGAAGTTTGCTAATGAACATCTGAATGATTCAGAGGATAACTGGGTGAAAGTGTTGTAGTCAGATGAGACCAAATGGAGCTCTTTGGCATCAACTCAACTCGCCGTGTTTGGAGGAGGAGGAATGCTGCCTATGACCCCAAGAACACCATCCCCACCGTCAAACATGGAGGTGGAAACATTATGCTTTGGGGGTGTTTTTCTGCTAAGGGGACAGGACAACTTCACCGCATCAAAGGGACGATGGACGGGGCCATGTACCGTCGAATCTTGGGTGAGAACCTCCTTCCCTAAGCCAGGGCATTGAAAATGGGTCGTGGATGGGTATTCCAGCATGACAATGACCCAAAACACACGGCCAAGGCAACAAAGGAGTGGCTCAAGAAGAAGCACATTAAGGTCCTGGAGTGGCCTAGCCAGTTTCCAGACCTTAATCCCATAGAAAATCTGTGGAGGGAGCTGAAGGTTCGAGTTGCCAAACGTCAGCCTCGAAACCTTAATGACTTGGAGAAGATCTGCAAAGAGGAGTGGGACAAAATCCCTCCTGAGATGTGTGCAAACCTGGTGGCCAACTACAAGAAACGTCTGACCTCTGTGATTGCCAACAAGGGTTTTGCCACCAAGTACTAAGTCATGTTTTACAGAAGGGTCAAATACCTATTTCCCTAATTAAAATGCAAATCAATTTATAACATTTTTGACATGCGTTTTTCTGGATTTTGTTGTTGTTATTCTGTCTCTCACTGTTCAAATAAACCTACCATTAAAATTATAGACTGATAATTTTTTTGGCAGTGGGCAAACCTACAAAATCAACAGGGGATCAAATTACTTTTTTTCCCTCACTGTAGGTGTATTGAGCACATGCATGCGTCCTCTGGATTGTTATGTCACATGGTCGTGAGAGATGGGCGATGGATTGAGCATGGCTACTGCTGCTGATGTTGATGATAAAATTAACGTATCTTCTGCATTTGAACTTTCCAACTGTACGTACAGTCTATGGTAGATGGTAGGAATGTATTCCCTACAATGCATTAGCAGCATCAGTCGGTCAGTGTGTGCCTGATAACTTATGTTTGTCACGCAGCCAATAACGTGTAGGTCTTATAAACTAGTCCAACACAGCGCAAATAGAATGGCATGGGTAGTTCTGAGGTTTTTGGGATGTGCGTTTGGGACACTTGAAAGATGTTGGGTAAACCATTGATGTAATCGTGAGGTGGCTTTTCACTTTGGCAACAGTGCGCCAACCATTGGGATGGAAATAACTTGTCCGCCGATCTTGCTCGTAAAATTCCAAGGTGTCCAATGTACTCAGATTAACAATTTTTCGTATCCACGCTGGGATCGGCAGTTGGTGGTGCACTAAGTTTAATTTATCAAACCTTTGTCTTCTTCTTCGTACAGGATGTTTCTAGATTGAAAACTAATTTCTTTATAACTGTTTTTTTGTGATTGATTTGTCATTTCACCGCACCTCCGATTAGCACGGTTGGCTATGTACGGTGGGAAAGAAGTTCAACATACATACAGATCAACAATCATGATTGTACTTTGAGGTGGTTGACCCAGATGGTTGCATCAAGAGTAGCGGAGCGTATCGCTGTGGCGATGCCTCATTCGTATTTGTGAATCGTCCATTGAGTCTGTTATACGTTCCGTGGTCTGTTAATCTTCCATAAAAAAAAAAACTCTCCCGTGTGCGACTGTGGTCACCCCTCACTTTTTCCAAAAATAAGCCAGTTTCTAAAACTGTAGATAATTACCTCCGAAATTACACTCCATACGCATTATTAGGATGATTTTAGCAATTGCGACTGTGAGGCTGCCCACATTTTAATCTGCCGTGGGTAACGTCATATGCCTGCAGTACTTTAACTTAGAGACGAGCTGACCCGTGCAGAATATAAGATGTTCACGTGATTGTTGTGATCACAGCTTGCACAGAGATAAGCACTGCCTAATGCTTGTTTGACTTTTTTTATTACAATAGTTTAGGTCTCTGGATGTTTGGTGGTCTCTCAGTTTTCACAATTTTCAAGCTGCTGGAGTCTCCAAAATCACGTAAACATCTGCCGCTATGATAACACACGTGGAAAATGCGCAGGCCTGCTGGTGCAAGTGCCTGCACTCGAGGGAGCTCTAGAGTAGAGCCCTCTCTAGTGGGGGACATTTTGGCCTACTAGCACACTGGCCAGACACCACTTTGCTGCACCTGCCGATCGACTTGCCCGCGGGTGTTTCCCATTTACGCTGCTCGGTGGCCAGAGGAGGTGGGTAGGGTTGCCAACCCTCCCGGAATTAGTATCGATCTCCTGTTGATTATTGAAAGCAATCCGGGAGTTTTAAGAAGAGGATATTTTAAGAGAATAAGAAAATACGTTCTATCTCCCAGAATAGCTTTAGTCAGGGCTGGCAAGCCTAGTGGTAGGCAGGATTTAAGAAACGTGCACCATTGTTGCAACTGAAATGACAGGGGATGGAACTGGCGACCTATTGATTTATATATACTAAAACTAAACTCTTTTTTTTTATTTTACAAATCTTTTTTAGAAGTGACCTGGCCACAAATGATAGCTCAACGAAGTGGCTTATCGTCGTGCGGATATTTATCGCAGCCAAATACTCGAAACGCATGTTTCTAAATGTGGAGGAAAAAACCGAAGGACCCGGAGAAAAATACACGTGAACCATGGGGAGAAAGACATGCAAGCTCCATATATACAGTGAGGGAAAAAGTATTTGATCCCCTCCTGATTTTGTACGTTTACACACTGACAAAGAAATGATCAGTCTATAATTTTAATGGTAGCTTTATTTGAACAGTGAGAGACAGAATAACAACAACAAAATCCAGAAAAACGCATGTCAGAAATTTTATAAATTGATTTGCATTTTAATGAGGGAAATAAGTATTTGACCCCTCTGCAAAACATTACTTAGTACTTGGTGGCAAAACCCTTGTTGGCAATCACAGAGGTCAGACGTTTCTTGTAGTTGGCCACCAGGTTTGCACACATCTTAGGAGGGATTTTATCCCACTCCTCTTTGCAGATCTTCTCCAAGTCATTAAGGTTTTGAGGCTGACGTTTGGCAACTCGAACCTTCAGCTCCCTCCACAGATTTTCTCTGGGATTAAGGTCTGGAGACTGGCTAGGCCACTCCAGGACCTTAATGTGCTTCTTCTTGAGCCACTCCTTTGTTGCCTTGGCCGTGTGTTTTGGGTCATTGCCATGCTGGAATACCCATCCACGACCCATTTTCAATGCCCTGGTTGAGGGAAGGAGGTTCTCACCCAAGATTTGACGGTACATGGCCCCGTCCATCGTCCCTTTGATGCGGTGAAGTTGTCCTGTCCCCTTAGCAGAAAAACACCCTCAAAGCATAATGTTTCCACCTCCATGTTTGACTGTGGCGATGGTGTTCTTGGGGTCATAGGCAGCATTCCTCCTCCTCCAAACACGGCGAGTTGAGTTGAAGCCAAAGAGCTCCATTTGGTCTCATATGACCACAACACTTTCACCCCGTTGTCCTCTGAATCATTCAGATGTTCATTAGCAAACTTCAGACGGGCATGTATGTGTGCTTTCTTGAGCAGGGGGACCTTGCGGGCACTGCAGGATTTCAGTCCTTCACGGCGTAGTGTGTTGCCAATTGTTTTCTTGGCGACTATGCTCCCAGCTGCCTTGAGATCATTGACAATATCCTCCCGTGTAGTTCTGGGCTGATTCCTCACCGTTCTCATGATCATTGCATCTCCACGAGGTGAGATCTTGCATGGAGCCCCAGGCCGAGGGAGATTGACAGTTCTTTTGTGTTTCTTCCATTTGCGAACAATTGCACCAACTGTTGTCACCTTCTCACCAAGCTGCTTGGCAATGGTTTTGTAGCCCATTCCAGCCTTGTGTAGGTCTACAATCTTGTCCCTGATATCCTTGGAGAGCTCTTTGGTCTTGGCCATCGTGGAGAGTTTGGAATCTGATTGATTGATTGCTTCTGTGGACAGGTGCCTTTTATACAGGTAACAAGCTGAGATTAGGAGTACTCCTTTTAAGAGTGTGCTCCTAATCTCAGCTCGTTACTTGTATAAAAGACACCTGGGAGCCAGAAATCTTTCTGATTGAGAGGGGGTCAAATACCTATTTCCCTCATTAAAACGCAAATCAATTTATAACATTTTTTACATGCGTTTTTTCTGGATTTTGTTGTTGTTATTCTGTCTCTCACTGTTCAAATAAACCTACCATTAAAATTATAGACTGATCATTTCTTTGTCAGTGGGCAAACGTACAAAATCAGCAGGGGATCAAATATTTGTTTCCCTCACTGTACATGCGTCAGGGTCAGGATCGAACCCGCGACCTGCTGCAGACCAGGCGAGCGAGTTAAGATCTTGCCACCGTGTCGCTACCATACAATGAAAGCTCTTTTAAAATATCTCTCTCGCAGGCTTGGAGAGAAATGCAATGAAATCAGAAATCTGCAGCTTGTTGTTGAGGATTTCGCAAAGAAGGAGGAGTGTTTGACGGCAAGGATTACGCAACTGGAGGGCGAGTTGGCGGAAAAAGAGAAGTGCATGCAGAGGTGAGTAGTACCCGGTGCCTTGCGCCACACGGCGACACAGCGAACACAAGTGCAGCAGGGGCATTTACTACGAGAGACACCACAAAAGTATTTCCTCCCGTTTGCTCTCGATAACTCTCACACAGCTTAAAGGTCGCGGTCTGAGCTTGGCTGTGTTTCACTCCAGCGCTGTCCTCGAGACAGTCTAGTCCCTTCACCTGATGAAGGCCGCTTGTGTTGTGGCCGAAACGTCGTGATTTTTGTTGTTTTATATTTTTTACCTACGTGACTTTACCGAATAGAACCAAAGAGTATGGATCCTTGCAGTCACGAAAGCTTCAAATCTAGAATTGATCCAGAATGTTACATATTCATTAATAGTAATTCCGTGAAGGTTATGTTTACTTACTTTTTTGTGCACCCGCGCCAACGTGCACCCACGACTGGCATTCTATCAGCGTCACGTGACCACGAGTGAAAAGCGTCCTGTTGTACACAGCAGTGTGATATTTAAACTTCCGCCCCACGTAGGTCATTCTTCATGGTGGCGAGTAGGTGAACCCTAGTTTAAAAATTCTGTCCATGGTCTCACCCCAAAGTATCCGGCCTCCCGCGTTCCATTCTATCCTCTTGCTCGTCCTTGTTGTTCACAATCCCAGCTGTCTCTCTGTCTGTGCCTAATCACGGTTCCACTCTCTCTCTCACCTCTGCTCCCCTTACACTGGAACAAGCTGCCCCTACACGTCAAACAATCGGCTCACTCTTTATTTTTCATTCTCCCCTTAAAACTCACTTCTTTTCCCTCGCTTACCCAAACTCCTCCTCCCCCTGCCTTCCCCCATCACTAACACCATCCGTCTTCCCAATTTCCCTTCCCATTAATCACACTCTCTCATCATTGACCACTTATTGCCACTTTCATCACCGTTTATTTCACGCATCGTCATATCCATGTCCAACCATCCTTCTCATCAACTCATCTCATCACCACTATTCCGCTGTACAAATAGCTTAATTCTATGTTCAGCACCTTGGTAAAGGTGTGATATAAATTAAAATATGGTACGATGAGACATGAGGCGTGCCAGATCTGGGCTATAAATACTATAAGCTATTTTTATTTTACCAGGTAAGGCCCACTGAGCTTTTATTTTACAGCTCTCTTTCAGAAGTGACCTGGCTACAAATGGTAGTTCAACAAAGTGGCTTATCACGTGGAAATTATAGCAGGCAAATACTCTAAAAGCACGAAAAATCCACGCGACCGCGGGGAGAGAGACATGCAAACTCAAAATATACAGGCGTGGTGGATGGGGGCAGCACAGTTCACCTGAACTCGAAAATGACCTCTGATGTCCTTAGGCTTGTGCGTGGTCTGGCGATGTTGTATCAGAGGAGGGAGCCCCTACCATCAGACAAATGGACGTAAATAATTTAGGTCCCCTGGACATTTGGTGGCTAATCACCGTTGATTGACTTAGAAACTGCAGAGGTCTCAGACACGACAGAAAAATCTGCTGCGATTATGATTATAAGCCTCCTGACGATTCCCATCAATGAACATTTAAAGATGCATGTCAGTTCAATAAAAATGTAATTAAGAGAACACAAAGGAGGCATTCAATTGAAATGGATCACCCTCTTTGGTCATGGTTCTTGTTGTGAAAAATGACCTGATATGGTGATGTGTGATTGATTTTGGAGGTGAGCCACGATGTTTAGGCCTCGCATCTTTTGAGTGTGGTGAAAAGTTGAACTCTTTTTGTGTTCAGGACCCCGGTTAACACTCACTTTGAGCAGCAATTTAGACTGTCCTCGACCTCTTGAGTTCTCAGTTTGGTTTAAAAAATTTTACTTGAACACTTGATCAATTGGCAGCGTAATAACACTGTCAGACATCTCCGCTCAATGGCTGGATGCTCTCCGTATGCCACGAAAAGAGTTGCTTTGTTCATTCACTCTCAACCATTCTTGGCCTAGAACTCACTTGACATGGATCACCACTCCCACATCCTAGCCCTTGCGTCGAAGCCCGAATCAACCTCCACTCAGCGGGAGGTCGCCCCCCCTTCTCCTTTGCTATCCGAGCGTTCTAGAACTCCCTGCCACCACCAGTCCATGCTTCGATTCCTAGCCCCTGTTCAGGCCCAGGCTCCACATCTTTCTCTCCCCCTCTGTACGCACGCACGCGTGTGCACGTGCGTTGAACTCTTTCGCACCGTACGTAGCCAACCGTGCTAAACGGTAAAACCTACCACACCGCGTCGGTCATACTTCACCATGATGGTCAGTGTGGTCTGGTGACGATTATATTTTGCAATTCATGTGAAAACGAACATAGACTCGAATGTTTCATAACCAACTCAAATGCAAGGAAAGATACTTCGTCAATATTACATTACCGCTGGCACGAAGAGCGTGCAGTGAATATTTCACCTCAGTGCTGTATCATCAACCATACATTATCCTGCCACTCAAAAGACAACCTCATGTACAGTGAGGGAAAAAAAGTATTTGATCCCCTGCTGATTTTGTACGTTTGCCCACTGACAAAGAAATGATCAGTCTATAATTTTCATGGTAGGTTTATTTGAACAGTGAGATACAAAATAACAACATGAAAATCCAGAAAAACGCATGTCAAAAATGTTATAAATTGATTTGTATTTTAATGAGGGAAATAAGTATTTGACCCTCTCTCAATCAGAAAGATTTCTGGTTCTCAGGTGTCTTTTATACAGGTAACGAGCTGAGATTAGGAGCACACTCTTAAAGGGAGTTCTCCTAATCTCAGCTTGTTACCTGTATAAAAGACACCTGTCCACAGAATCAATCAATCAATCAGATTCCAAACTCTCCACCATGGCCAAGACCAAAGAGCTCTCCAAGGATGTCAGGGACAAGATTGTAGACCTACACAATGCTGGAATGGGCTACAAGACCATTGCCAAGCAGCTTGGTGAGAAGGTGACAACAGTTGGTGTGATTATTCACAAATGGAAGAAACACAAAAGAACTGTCAATCTCCCTCGGCCTGGGGCTCCATGCAAGATCTCACCTCGTGAAGTTACAATGATCATGAGAACGGTGAAGAATCAGCCCAGAACTATACGGGAGGATTTTGTCAATGATCTCAAGGCAGCTGGGACCATAGTCGCCAAGAAAACAATTGGTAACATACTACGCCGTGAAGGACTGAAATCCTGCAGCGCCCGCAAGGTCCCCCTGCTCAAGAAAGCACATATACATGCCCGTCTGAAGTTTGCTAATGAACATCTGAATGATTCAGAGGACAACTGGGTGAAAGTGTTGTGGTCAGATTAGACCAAATGGAGCTCTTTGGCATCAACTCAACTCGCCGTATTTGGAGGAGGAGGAATGCTGCCTATGACCCCAAGAACACCATCCCCACGGTCAAACATGGAGGTGGAAACATTATGCTTAGGGGTGTTTTTCTGCTAAGGGGACAGGACAACTTCACCGCATCAAAGGGACGATGGGCAGGGCCATGTACCGTCAAATCTTGGGTGAGAACCTCCTTCCCTCAGCCAGGGCATTGAAAATGGGTCGTGGATGAGTATTCCAGCATGACAATGACCAACAAAACACACGGCCAAGCAACAAAGGAGTGGCTCAAGAAGAAGCACATTAATATCCTGGAGTGGCCTAACCAGTGTCCAGACCTTAATCCCATAGAAAATCTGTGGAGGGAGCTGAAGGTTCGAGTTGCCAAACGTCAGCCTCGAAACCTTAATGACTTGGAGAAGATCTGCAAAGAGGAGTGGGACAAAATCCCTCCTGAGATGTGTGCAAACCTGGTGGCCAACTACAAGAAACGTCTGACCTCTGTGATTCCCAACAAGGGTTTTGTCAACAAGTACTAAGTCATGTTTTGCAGAGGGGTCAAATACTTATTTCCCTCATTAAAATGCAAATCAATTTATAACATTTTTGACATGCGTTTTTCTGGATTTTTTTTGTTTTTTATTCTGTCTCTCACTGTTCAAATAAATCTATCATTAAAATTATAGACTGATCATTTCTTTGTCAGTTGGCAAACGTACAAAATTAGCAGGGGATCAAATACTTTTTTCCCTCACTGTATGTATGTTGAACTTTCGCACCATACATAACTAACCTTATTCTTAGTTTTTTTCGGTAAAGTCACGTTGAAGAGAAACAACAAAATAACAAATATATATAAAACAATAAAAACAATAAAAAATTATCACGACGTTTCGACCATAACTCAAACGGTCATCATCAGGTGTGTCGGTTTGCATAAATTTATTTTTAAACGGCACATTTATTTATTTATAAAAACGTTGGCGTCACGCGCAGCGATTGGCAGTTTGCCCAGTACTAGTCCATCTATTCTTTTTTTTGAAAAGAGGAGGGGGGAGACGAATTTTTTTATAATGTATGCTGTCTGAAAGCCACTGTAAGCGTGAACAATCAATCAAGAACTGAAATGATTTATCAAATCTTTCCAATGATTGCTAAGATAGAATTCATCTTCTCGGTTGAAATTGTCTCTGTGCTTGTATATGTGGATAGCCTCATGAACGAATCTCTCATGGAAGCCAGATGGCTTACAAAGAACCTCCGTCTTGGAAAAGTCAATGGCATGTGAGCCTACTGAATTAGAACAATGATCTGCTACGGCCGAGGTGTTGGTCCTACCGTGTTTAAGGTCTGCTTTATGTTCACGAATGCGGTCCGAGACATGGCGTTTGGTTTCTCCAATGTAACTACTACCACAGAGGCAACTTAGTTTGTAGACACCAGGGTATTGTATGTCCGGAATCACATCTTTTACAGACGGAACCAGATCACGGATTTTATGTAATGTGTTGAAACGGACCTGGATCTTGTGTTTATTCAAGATTTTGGAGATCTTTTTTGTGATCCCAGCAATGTAGGGTAAAGTGATGGTTTTGAAAGGCTCCTCAAGAGCGTTCTTCTTCATGGTTTGAGTGATAGCTTTGCGGATTGTATAGTCGGAGTAACCATTAGCCCTA